CAGAGGCAATTTCTACTTCACTGATCATGAATGTGATGTGTATCCTTTAGTTCATGCTTTTATACTGTCGACTGAAAAAAAATGCACAACCTAAAACTTGAGAATTACATTTTGTTTGGTGGACATACTGAGGACTCACGCCTGGCAGGCAGCCTCTCAGCTCTGAGGGACCTATTCTGGAGAGGTAAGGGAAAAGCCAGGATATAAAGGAGTTTTTGCAACAAAAACTGATCAAAAGATTACTGTTCATTAAAGAAAAACCTGACATCTCAAGTTAATGAATTTAGCGCTTTTCTATGTATGGGAAGATGCAAGAGTCTGGGCTCATTGAAATCATTCCTTTGAGATGCACCTTAACTATCTAAGGCCAGTAGCCTGTTTTAGTTTTTGTTTTTTATCCTGAACCCCTCATGGTGCATAGTTGGGGGAGGAGGGTGCAGTGGCTGTTGGCTTGAGGGCCACAACATCCTTTGTTTACTTATATGGCAGGTGACATTCTTTGTCTACAGTACTCACTACATCTATGTGTTCTTTTTATTTGTTTTTAATTTACATAAATGCTTTCATATGGTATCTATCATTTCTGAAACTTTCTTCACCATCCTGTTATTCAGAACCATCAACGTTGATTAGTATAGATCTAAGTCCTTCACTTGAATTGCTGTCTACATTTCATATCATAACACAATTTACTTTTTCACTAATGGGAAGTTTGGTCGTTTCTAATAGTTTGCTAGTTTAAACATGCTGCTGTTGACATCTTTTACATGCCTTCTTGTGCACGTGTGCTGGAGTTTCTCCAGAAATACATACTGTTATGTAGGTGCTATTACCAAAACACTCTCCACATCAGTTGTACCAACTACAGCTCCACCCCAGTGTTCCTGTTCTTCCGCATCCTCTCCAGGATATGGAGTGTCAGTGTAGGAAACATTTTTCATTCTTTTTGGCTACCCAGCACCCTGAACATCCTCCTACATTTGGAGAATCTCCAATTATGAGTCTCCACTTCCCACTATAGACATCAACCCTCTCCTTCCCACCCCCTCTAGACTGCCAATCAGACTCACTCACACCAGATCATGAATGGGAACCCAGTGACTTAACAGGAAACAGGCACTCCTTAGAATCCACTCTTATTGGCAACAGCTACATTCGTTTTTCAGAGGTTCCGAAAGCCACATTCTGTGCTGGTATTGGTGACAGGAACAGTGGTTGGTATTTAGGATTTCCGAAGGGTTGTGGGGTTTCACTGGCCCGCAGTGGTGTGTCTTCTAATAGATAACTGAATGCACCTCTAAACAGGGTGGACCCGGACGTTCCTTAAAAAACTAAAACTAGAGCTACCATATGATCCAGCAATCCCACTCCTGGGCACATACCCAGAGAAAACTATAATTCAAAAAGACACATGCACCCCAATGTTCATTGCAGCACTATTTACAATAGCCAGGTCATGGAAGCAACCTAAACGACCATCGACAGAGGAATGGATCAAGAAGATGTGGTACATATATACAGTGGAATGTTACTCAGCCGTAAAAAGAATGAAGTAATGCCATTTGCAGCAACATGGATGGACCTAGAGATTGTCATACTGAGTGAAGTAAGTCAGACAGAAAAGGACAAAGATCATATGATATCGCTTATACGTGGATTCTAAAAAAAATGGTACAAGTGAACTTATTTACAAAACAGAAATAGAGTTACAGATATAGAAAACAATCTTATGGTTACCAGGGGGGAAGGGGGAGGAGGGATAAGTTGGGAAACTGTGATGGACATATACACACTACTATATATAAAATAGATAACTAATAAGAACCTACTCTTTAGCACAGGGACCTCCACTCAATACTCTGTAATGACCTATATGGGAAAAGAATCTAAAAAAGAGTGGATACATGTATATGTATAACTGGTTCACTTTGCTGTACAGCAGAAATTAACCAAACATTATAGTAAATCAACTATACCCCAACAAAAATTTAAAAATAAATAAATAAACAAACAGGGTGGACCCAGGAAACAGGTTGCTGTGTTGAAACCATTGTTTTTTGACAGACTAGCTGTGTAACCTCAGGCAAACTAAACCACCAGTCTCCACTTTGTATGTAGGAAATAACTGTACCTATTTTTTAGATTTGTTGTGAGGATTAAATGAGCAAATACATATAAAGCACTTAGAACTATACCCGCACACAGCGAGCAATGGGCAAATGTTAGCTTGTATGATTTAATACATTCTTTTCCTGTTTAAACTAACTGTGATTGGTTTCTGTAGTTTTCAACTACAGAACTGTGTCTGATCTATTCAGATGTTTTTATTTTTTCTAACTCGATGGATGAGAAATCACAGCTTATGAATTTTATTGCATTTTCCTCAATGCTAGTGAGTCTAAGGCTTTTTTTTTCATGTTTATTGGTCATTTGAATTTCATCTTCTGTGAATCTCTTGTTAGTAGCCTTTGTGCATTTGCTACGGGGTTATCTTTCTTTTTCTTATTGAATTGTCTGCTGTCTTTATATATTCTGGATACTAAACCTTTGCTTTATGTGTTGCAAATAGCTTCTCCCAGTCTGTCCCTTACCTTTAACTTTGTTTACAGTGTCTTTTATCATGCTGAGGTTTTAAATTTTGATGTGATGTGATCTAATTTATTACACTTTTCTTTTTATCAGTTAGGCTTTTTGTGTCTCATTGAAGTTCTTTCCTATCCTGAGGTCATAAATACATTATTCTATTTTTTCTTCTAAGAGGTTGAAAGCATTTTTTTCTTTAACTTTTCAGTGTTTATACTATATGGACCATGATTTTTAAAAATAAGTTATGAAAAAGTTATAGCAATAGTAACTTTCTATTATTTCTTGGCTGCTAGCTTACCAACAAGGAGTGCAGCAGAATTGTTTGTTCAGAAATTGTAGAGCCATTTTACTAAGACGCAGGAAGCGAACAGGCTGACCCTCAGGAAAGACTGATAAATACAAGCTGACGAGAGTCTAGTTTCTTAGGGCCTTACTAAAGTATCAAGTAAATCTCAATACATTATCTTGTCTTTTTAAAGCCCTTCCAATCACATGCAGACACTCCTCACATGTTTTAAATATATCTCTCTGATTAACCAGAGGTCAGCAATTAAGGAGATAGTGCTTAAGTCAGACTAAGATGACTTTTCACTTCCCCTAAGGGAATTCTAGGCTGAAAGGGTTAAGAACAGAATGAAAGAGCAGCCTGGGAAAACCTTCTGGAGCTTAAAGCTGCCAACAGCCTTGCCCCAGCCCTGCTCGTGCTCAGCACGATGTCCTCTAGCCTCTCCATCAGTGCTCTCGGCTGAGGCTTAAAATGGATTGTGTCATTTTAAATTAATCATTTTCAAACTTCTTTCCATATCTATTTTGGCCCAGAATAGAAGTCTGGAGTTGCAGAATCTTTCCACCACTCGAATAAAAATGACTGTCTTCATTTGCTGCCACACCTCTCACCCAGGAGTTCATAGGTAGCTGAATTTTGTGTACATAAAATATAAATATTCATTTACTTAAAACTAGGCTTAGTTTTGCTTGAAGTTGAAATCAGCGGGGCTCCTGTAGTGTAGTGGGAAAGGCCCAGCAGAGACCTCCGCAGTTACATTGTGCCAGTCTACCCTGGGCTTGAAGTCCTACCAATAGATACTTGAGATGTATATTGATAGGTTAAGGTGTTTGTTTTCAAACTCTAGGGTCCATTAAAAACAGCTGGAGAGCTTATGAAAGTAAAGGTTCTGGTTCAATAGGTCCAGAATGAGGGCCAGGCATCTGCCTTTTTACATGCATGCCTAATAAAGATGGTCCATGAATGTCTCTGAGAAAATATAGGGTATGTTATTTCATCTCTAGGAATCTTCTGCTGAGCTCTAAACATCCCAGAGCAGGGTAATACATGACACAATCATGTGAATCAATGATCAGTTTTGCTAGTCATTGAAAATCCTTGGCAGAGAGGGATCTGGAAAGAAGAAGTTTTGGTGCATCAGAAAAGGTCAAGGTACCAGGAAAGGCACAAGAAACGTGTGGACTCTGCACATGGGAGCAGGGATGGGTCACAGGGCATATGCCTCACTAGCTGATCCAGCCTTTCCAGCTCTGCCTATGAATGCGGCTTGGTCCTGCACCCTCTTCTCAAGCTACATTCTCTCCCTAGCTGATCTCACTTTAAATGGGCCAATTTTATCAAACATAAATTATATCTCAATAAATTTGTTTGGTTTTTTTTTTTTTTTGGTTGTTTTTTTAAAGCATATTGTATTCCGCAAAAGACAAAGTTAGGGAATTCAAAAAGATGGGTCAGGGACTTCCTTGGCGGTCCAGTGGTTGGGACTTTGCCTTCCAGTGCAGGGGGTGCGGGTTCATTCCCTGGTAGGGGAGCTAGGGTTCCACATGCATCGGGGCCAGAAGGCCAAAACATGGAACAGGAGCAATGTTGTAGCAAATTCAATGAAGACTTTGAAAATGGTCCACATTTTTTAAAAAAATCTTTAAGAAAAAAAAAGATGGGGGCTTCCCTGGTGGCGCAGTGGTTGAGAGTCTGCCTGCCGATGCAGGGGACGCGGGTTCATGCCCCGGTCCGGGAAGATCCCACATGCCGCGGAGCGGCTGGGCCCATGAGCCATGGCTGCTGAGCCTGCACGTCCGGAGCCTGTGCTCCGCAACCAGAGAGGCCACAAGAGTGAGGGGCCCGCATACCGCAAAAAAAAAAAAAAAAGGGGGGGGGGATGACAAAGAGAGTATAAGAGATATGTGGGACTACACCAGAAGATCTAACACACATGTGATTGGTGTCCTACAAGGAGAAAAGAGAATGTGGCAGTAGCAACATTTGAAGAAATAATTGTGCAGTTTCTGAAACTGGTAAAAATAATCTACAGACTCAAGAATCTCAGAGAATCCAAAGCAATAATAAATAACAAAGCAAACTACATCTTGGCACATCATAAACTGCTAAAAGCTAAAGATAAGGGATTTCCCTGATGGTCCAGTGGTTAGGACACTGTGCTCCCAATGCAGGGGCCCCAGGTTTAATTCCTAGTCAGGGAACTAGATCCCGCACTCTGCAACTAAAAGACCCCGCACTCTGCAACTAAAAGACCTCACACGCCGCAACTAAAAGACCCTGCACGGCGCAACGAAGATCCCACACACAGCAACGAAGATCTTGCGTGTGGCAACTGAGACCTGGCGCAGCCAAATAAATAAATAAAATTTTTTTTAAAAGCCAAAGATAAAAAAAAATACTTAAAAGTACTAGAATCTCTCTTACCTGGATTTTGCACATTGGTTCTAGAAGGAACAGACGGGAGAAGAAAAATTGTTGGGAGAGTCTGGACCAAGTGATGACCTTCTCACAAATGGTGGGGCCTGTTATAAAGGAAAAACCTACAGTTTTCCACTTCCTATGTAGGAAAAAAGCCAGTTCTTCCTACTGTTTCTTATTCTGTGCGTCTCCTTTACTACTCACACAGAACACTTCACATCTGCCACTTCTAGTCACCAAAAGCACGAGGGTTTTCCCCACAGCAACAAGCAAGTCTCTGACACCAGCTGGATGTCCTACAAGGTAACTCCATTCTGACACTGTTTACCTGGAGTCAGACCCCCAGTGAGGGCTCAGTCCCACAACTCATCCCCACGCCCATTTCAGACGCCAGTCAAAAGCTTAGGTTATCACCTGTGCTTCCAACCGACTGGCTCTATATCAAAGGTTCCAACAACGCCCACCTCAGGTTCAATTAATTTGCTAGAGTGGCTCACAGAACTCACGGAAATACATTTGCCAGTTTATTAAAGGATATGGTAAAGGATGAACAGATACGCAGGGAGGGTCCTGAGTGCAGAAGCTTCTTTCTGTCCCTGGGGAGTTGGGGTGTGTCATCATCCCGGTGTGCATGTGTTCACCCAACTGGAAGCTCTCTGAACTCTGTACTTTGGGGATTTTATGGAGACTTCCCTATGTAGGCATAATAGATCATTAACTCTGTTTGCAGCCCTTCTCCCTTTTCAAGAGAATGGGGGAGGGGCAAGGCTGAAAATTCCAAGCTTCTAATCATGGCTTGGTCTTTCCAGTGACCAACCATCATCCAGGAGCCCATGCAGAGTTGCCTCGTTAGAACAAAAGACACTCCTATCACCCAGGAAATTGCAAGGGTTTCAGGAACCCCGTGTCAGGAACTGGGGTCAAAGACAAAATAGTAGAACAAAAGATACTCCTAGTACTCTTACCGCTTAGGGAATTACGGGGGTCTCAGGAGTTCTGCGCACGAAGCGAGGGCAGAGACAAATCCATATATTTTCTATTATCTCACACCTGGTATCCACCATCGTTAAATAAGGGTAATAGAAATTGGAGCTGAATGGAAGAACACTCTCAAAGCCAGGTTGGCACATGTCTAGCCTCAGGGATCTAGTGAACATAAGCTTGCCCTGAGTGCACTTTGGTAACAATGTTGGAATTTATACTCATTGATTTAAACCAATCACAGAGGCTTCTAGTCATGATGATGGACCACAGGGTAGGGGTGCCAGGGGGGCAGGGAGGGTTAACTCCACAGGGACCTCACCTGATACACATCAATAAAATAAAGAGCTTCCTGAGCAAAGGAATGCAAAATGCCTTAGAACCACACACAGCTGTGTTTGAATTCTAGCTGTAGCACTGGCTGGTCATGTGACTCTGGGACTTCGCAAGCTTTTGATCTCTAACGAATGGAGATAGTATTTATCTTGGAAAAATCCTTGAGGTTAGATGAAAATATAAATATAAATGTATAAAATAGATAAGAATATACATAATCCTGGCATGTTGGGTTGTCTACAATATTCATTTACCTTCAACTAGAAAATGAGAGGGTTCAAATTTCCAGGCCCCATTTTCTGATACCACATCATGGTGGCAGAGCTCTTGGTACACTGTGGCAAGATTACTAAAAATTACTTTTATTTTAAAAGAGAGATTTCTATTTGGTTATTTGATATTCATCTTATTCCCCAGAGACATGACTTTTTTCCAGTTAATTCAAATTTGTTTGCTCTACCACTATCATCTTGCTTAAGAGTATTATTTCAAAGGAAGTTTTTAGCTTTTGGTATATCCAATAGAAGCAAATAAATGCATTTTGAAAAATTATTTCCAAGGACCTTTCTGCAAAAAAGAAAGTAAAATGCTAAAAAGATGTGATCTAGAATGGATTGGCTACTTGAGTTTTAAAGTAAATGTAATAGAACTCAGTCATCACTCATGCCACCCCTCCAATTTGTTACGTGGATAAACGGTTACCTGTGAATTTTACTTATAAAATTAAATTTAAGGAATAAAATTTTCCCTATTCAGCATACATTCAAATTCACTGCTCATCAGAGTTAAACTTTATTCATTATAAATAATTTTCAAGTGTTTCTTTCAGAATTCTGAATATTTTGTCATACATTTCCCACTTCCTTACAAAGGAATTCAAATCTGAATGCATTTTTCTTAGCCTTATTATAAAGATGACTCAAAGATAGCCTCAGGTGGAATTATCCCTGTAACATTTTCTGTGTTAGATGCAATCACTGTCTTATGAATATACTGCTATATTTGGGGAATTTATTTCCAGTGATATCCATTTCATTCTATACATCTCTGTTAATAAAGTTCCCAAAGATTAAAAGATCATTAGGGGTAAAAAAAAAAGAAAAAATTAGAGGGGTTTTATGCTTTCTGGATTTAGGAAAGTATTGAGTCCTTAAGCTCACTCACAATTATTTTTCTCAAATCTCCTTGGTATAATTTCATTTAAAAACTCTCACTCTACTGTGTATTACTGCAATTGGTTGTATTATTTAATCTGTGACAATGTTCTCTACAGTGAATAAAACATTTAAAAATGCAGTTCTTATCTAGCTGGGTGATTTTATAAATTCCTTATTTTGAAGGAGTAATGATTACTCTTTTCTTTGTGGTCAAGGTTGACAATTTCATCATTGTATGTGATTCAGCAAACACATTAACCATAACGCTGTTTGAGAATTACTCCATACTTTCCTCCTAGGGAAGGTTCCAACCACTCTATAGAGTTAAGAGAAGTGATAAACAAATCTCAAATATCACAGCATTCACTCCTGAAATGTTATCTCCCCTAGGGTGAAACTGCCACTGCTTAAGAGTGCAGAGTTACGTTTCATGCTGTTTAGAGGAAGTAAGCAAGAAAGAAGAGGCCAAGTCACATTTCCAGGCAGTAGGAATTCCCTATATTTCATCAACGTATTCAAAGATCTCTGGAGTACCATGGGCTGTAACTCAGGTCTCTGTCCTCTGTGTCCAACTGAAATTGCATAGACAACTGAGCTGGCAGAACATCAAACCTATATATAAGCTAGGCTTTATCTAGGACATGAAAGCTGAAGTCTGTACTTTGAGCCCAGACTGGCAAAGCAAGATGGAAAATTTAATTCATAAGATGGAGAGAAAAAATAATTTAGATATTTCAAGACAAATTTTCCAAGTAAATAGTGTATTCTTATTCTCTTAGTTCTGAGAGAACATAGTCTTCCAATGTAAACTGAAATTACAGTGTAATATCATGATACACTCACTATGGTGGATAGACTCTAAAATGATCCTTGATGATCCCCACCTTCTGGTCTTTACACCTTTGTGCAACCCCTTCCTCTTGACTGCAGGTAGGATGCGTGGTGTGCTTCTAACTGATAAAATATGGCAAAGATGGTGAGCTGTCACTCCTGTTATTACATCTTGTTATATTAGACTCTGTATTAACATACTGGAGATAATGTTGTGAGTGTGGGGCAGTAAGTAGCTAAGTTAGGGAAATCTATGTAACAAGGAACTGAAGGTGGCATCTAGGGACTGTGGACAACTTCTAGGACCAGAGAGAACTTCCAGTCAACAGCCAGCAAAAATCTTGGGCTGTCAATCATACAGTGGGAAGAAAACAGATTCTGCCAACAACCTGCAGGAGCTTGGAAGCAGATTCTGGCCCAGTCAAGCCTACAGATGAGAATGCAACCCAGCCAATATCTTCATTGCAACCTTATGAGACTCTGAGCAGAGGACTCAGTTAAATCATACTCAGTACACGGAAACTGTGGTATAATAAATTTGCACTGTTTTAAGCTACTAAATTTGTGATAATTTGTTATGTAGCTAGAAAACTAAGATACCTACCAAAATGGCAAGAAAGTAATGCAGAGAGTACCAAGTGTTGGCAAAGATCTGGAACAAGTGGAATTCTCACACACTACTGGAGAGAGTGCAAATTAGTTCAACTCCTTCAGAAAACTGTTTGCAAGCATCTCCTAAAATGGAATATATGTGCATATTATGATTCAGCAATTTCACTTCTAGACACATGACTAAAATAAATGCACACATGTGTACCAAAATACATGTCCAATAATGTCCTTAGTCACATTATAATAGTCCCAAATTGGAAACAACCCAAATACTTAACATCAGGCAAATGAAAGAATAAGTTGTGGCTTATTCATAAATAGAATGCTATACAGCAATGAAAATAAATGAACTACAAATACGTACAACATGGAACTTACAAACATAATGTGGAAAGAAAAGCTGGTAATTTATATTAAATTCAAGAACAAGTAACACTAAACTGTGCCATTAGAAGTCAGGATGGTGATTATTCTGGTGGGAATAGTGAGAGGGGCTTCCGCAGGCTGGTAATGTTCTATTTCTTGATACGGATGCTGTGACACATGGGTGTTTTCACTTTGTGATAATTCATTGACTTATACACTCACTATGTGTGAATTTCCTGTAAGAATGTTATACTTTAACTAAAAGTTTGACCTAAAGATAACAATATTTCCTCTGTACAGCCTCTCTAAACCTTTTATGCCTCCAATTCACCTGTCCGTTTGTACTTTGGGTTCAAAAGAAGAAAAAGAGAAATATTAAAACTGTTAATAAGTGGTAAAGCCAGGAAACAAACCCACGTCACATGTTTGTCTAATAAAAGACTTCAGGCTTTTTTTTTTTTTTTTTTTTTTTTTTTTTTTTTTTGGGCTTCAGGCTTTTT